TCCTTTGTGAGTTCTGAGACCTATCACTGCTGACTGCTCTCTGAGGCTGAAATGGAAACAGTGGAGAAGCCCACTGTTAGCCCCAGCTAAATGGTGCTGTGCAGTAACTCTGGATCGCTGATAGGACACTGGACATCGATTTTTTGGGAAAAGAGCGAGTTCCAGAGGTGTTAAAAATAACAACGCTGTCAAAATATAATTATAAATACCACAAACGCATACCGACAAATCCATTCAGGCAGGACATCCTATGTAGGAAATCAAAAAATGAACCTCTGGTGAAACGTGTTACGTAAATGAGCAGTGATTTTTGCAGGTTGGTTTCTATTGTAGTTGTTTGCAAAATTCGTATTGTTACCAAGGATTTCTACAGTCCTGTAGGATACCTGTAAACACAGGTGATAGTCTAGGGTCTGTGCAGGAAGAGGAAAGGTTACACCATGAGAAGGCAGTACAGTAGGTCCGTGCCTGAAAGTAGGATGATTCCCTGCTGTGTACTGTATACAGAATACTAGTAATTCGTTTTTGCCTTCTGTATTTTTTCCAAGCTCAGTAGCTTGTAGAGGCTGGCAAACAGCCTAAACAAGCATAAACAGTTCAAAATTTGATGTAAGCAGAGAAACCACCTATTTTAGTCGTTCAGTCAATAATCTTGATTATTGTGATCATTCAAACTGAAAATCATCTACTGCGTGGCAAATGCAGAGCTACTCAGCTTGCTCTGTCTCACCAGATGTTGAGTTAAGACTGCATTGCTTCCATGGGCACCTGGGCTACAGGATTTAACCAGCCATCGGTGCCAAAGAGCTCTTATCAGATGACTAATGAGGGGACCAATTTGGTTTGCGTGTGGCACGCACTGGCCTGACTCTCCCACTTCAAGACAGGATACGCAGTAGCAAACACTGACTACCGCTAAAATGAATCTCTAATCATCTTGGTGACAAACAGCATATATGAAGGAACACCATTTTCTTTCTCTCAAATAGCATGAAACACAACCCGACGCTGACCAGCTGCATTCATCTCATCCACTACTGATTACTCGTAGTTGATTCTACTAATCAGGCTGCAGATAAATGTGCTTCCACATCTGTTGTCTTGTCAGAAGCAGAAGTACCACAAACAAATGGGTCTAGATTCCAGTGTTTGTTTTAATATGTGTTTTATTCTTGATGCCCAAACAGCTTGCAAGCAGCACATTATGATAAATAATTCACCTTTTGACAGCAGACCTACATAAAACTGGTTGCCTTTGATGCATGGGTTATGTAGCCCATCAACAGACTGTGTGGCACATTTATCACATCCCACCACTCCCTGCTGTGGCTCCTTTCAAAATCCCCACAAAATATATTTCCTTTCTTCTTAGAGGAGTAATTAAAGATGCTGCCTAACCTTTCAGAAACATTCTTCTTTTCGGTTGTTTTCCGTTCCTCCCTCAAACTCTGAGCCGCAGAACAACGCAATCTATAATCTGAAGCAGACTCATAATTCTGCGATAATCAACACATTTACAATGTACACGGAAATAAAACAGAGTAGTCTCTTAAAGGCAAGGAGTAATGAAGACCGGAAAAATAAAAAGACAACAGAAAATGGTAAATGAACAAAGGAAAAAGAGAATGAATATTAAACAGTCCTGCAGTACAGTCGAAGAAAAACGTTTAGACCTCCTTTGTAAATAATGAGGTGACCAACCTTTGGTTATCAAAAAACTTTGGTTTCTTTTATCTGGCTTTAATACAGTATCTTAATATGCGTACCGTTTCTGCCGATTTCCATTTTATATCCCTTCCTTGATATTTTGTGCTAATCAGGAGACTATTTGCATATTTTTCTCATTATTCCCTAACTTTGGTCTACAACTGTATTTTAAAATGCAGAAATGTTGTGCTTGTTTTAATTTTATCTCACGTCTCTCATCACTGGAGCCACGAAAAGTCACAAGTGAATTTGATGAACCTGATTGACCCGCATTAGATTTCAAAAGCCAAGTTGTTGATCACATCACTCCAGCTAAAAAAACAATCTAACAAGCACTGAAGAACTCAACACACCAACTGCTGGTGTCTATACAATTATAGACAATGAACAACTGAAAGATTGAAAGAATAAGCTACATTAAATGGCTAAATAAGTATAAAAACTATACAGAAAGCAAATGGTGGGCCACTCCACCTATAAATTAGACATGATTTTCAACAAGTGTAACTATTTCTCAATGAAGTTTTAAGTATATTTCAAAATTGCACTGTCCATTTTGTATGATTAAACATGTAATATTGTATTGCATTGCCCATATTGTCCTAGGCCTTGCTAGTTTAAATTGGTCTACCATTTAAAAAGTCAGTTCTTCCCAATTGCAATGCACTGTTTAGAATTTTTCTATCCTATATACTTTGTTGCTCTGGATCTTCTTTTATCAAAGCTTGCCATAATTTAACTCTGTCTCTGTATGAAGTTTGATGAATATCTGTATCAGAACAAGACTTTTTACATTTTTGCCAGTTTACTGAAAGCAAGATTTGCTTTGCATTATATAAATTGACCCTGATTATCTGGGGAGATTTTATAATTATTTGGTTTGTAAATATAGCGATTATTTAAAATTTCTTAGGGTCCGGTATTAGTCACAAATACAGTATGTCATATATATATTTCCTGAAATCATTGTCAAAAAGGTAAGACGTTTAATCACAATCCAATAATGGAAGATATGGGAGAAGATGTAGAAGATACAGGTGTAGTACTGCCACCAAGCTAATCACTGTGCTAATGTGACATTGTGTGATCTGATTTGGTGATTTGGACCAGTTTCAGAGAAAAGCAATCCCAAAGCAGTCATCTCATCTCAGGACTGAAAAGCAAACATTTTATTTTGCTTGGTCTCCACAACGATTCTGAGACCGAGACTGTGGTTTCAGTCCACGAATCAAGATGCTAAACAAACAGAATCCTCACACTACAATGCTAATGACTGATATTATCGTGAGACATTAAAGTTTTTCACAACAATAAAAAAAAAAATCAGAAATCAGAAATAACAATCACCATATTTCACTAACCATACACTTAGGCTGCACTTATTAAATGCTGGATTCTGCCGAGTCACCAATCTGACTTTGAGCCGGGGCTTTCCTGATTTTAATACACAAGATAATGAATGAAGTAAAACACCGCAGCTCTATCTTGATGGCATTTATGCTGTAGTACATTCCTTTCATCCTTTTTTCCCACAAGATGCATTCATTTTAGAAACAAGACAGCAAAAAACAATAGGTATGCCTAAAAGTGCATAAACACTTCTGTGTGATGTAGACTGATTCACATTTGCTAAATAAGACTGAATAAATAGTGATCGATGGGGCCCGTCAAGTAAACTGAATGTCTTTTTCCCTTTTTCTGATTTTCAGTCATGTAGTGATTTTTTTTTAATAATAATGATTTTAGGTCCAAAACCAAAAGCTCAAGAGAAAATACAGTGGCGAGAACCGCAGAGTGAACTTGTGGTGGGGAGGTCAAGAATCCTGTTTAGTTTTAAGTACACTATATTTAGAAATTGTTAGGCAATCCCAGTAAAGCCCAAGCATTTTGTTTACATAATCCATTAAAGTGAATGTTACTTAGAAGGTAAAGTAAAGGTACTTAGAAAGGAATCTGGCATTTTGTTATCTTACTAATGGCACTGTAATAATAATCACTGTAATAAGTTGTAGGGTACCATTTACTAAATGGCATATACCGGTGCAAGGTTTTAGAACCTTTTTATGCAGGTATAATGCTGTGAGTCTCTTTTTATTATTTGCTTTCATTACCAGGTTATTTGAAACACTTAAAATATGAGTGCTAAGTCATACAGATCATTAAGGGAACAACCATCATGAAAATGTCTGAGGTGGTTTTTGTTTTCTTTTAGGTTTCAGTCTCATGCTAAAGCACACAAAGTCATTATCTACTGTTAAACAGTTAAATATACTGCAGCAATAGAGAATAAGGTCTGCTTTCGCTGAGCCAAAGCCCACCTAAGGCTACATTGAGTATTGAGCACTATGGTATATCGAAAGGTTAAATATTAAATAACCACTTGAAATTTAATACACAAAGCAATTATTTCCTTCATGACTTCCAGATATTTATAATAAAAGAATGATTTACTTGTGTAACATAATTACTATTGCAATGTCTCAATTAGCATTATTGTTTTCCAGCTGAAAAGTACATCACACGGTTTGTGTATTTTTTTTTGCGATACAGCTAAAGAGCTGGTTGGTTTTAAGGTGATGTAAAGACAAGACAAAAATTAGCTTGACTGCTATGAACATTTGTCTATTTCTTCATTGCAAAAATCAGAATAGGATATATTAACCCTAAAAAAGAAATTGAGTGGACAGTGATCATAATTAAAGTTTAACGATCGTGTTCATTAGCACTTTCATGCTATATGTTTGCCAACTAGTCTGGACTCTTTTGAATCCAGTAAATACTGACCTATGCAGGCGTTTAAACTAATTCTAATGAGTATTTCAAATGGAAATCAAACAACCATAAAAATGTAAGACAATTGTGACCAACGTATCTTTACAAAATCCCTCTCCAACAAGGATTTCAGAGTGCTTTACCGTGTGTTTAACCTATATCAATCTGCCAGAGGTGACGGCCATGTCAAAGAGCGTTATTAACTACAGGAGCGCTCATGTCAAAATAAAGTTATACATTTTATGACTATCTTGATCGATTCGGCAGCAGTTAGTTCTCTCTGTGAATGCAGACTTGCAGTGTAGAAGATGAATGTATGAGAAAATACTGAAATGATAAGGTCGGTGTCAATGTCCCACAAACCCATTGAAGAAACGCTCATTGGAACACGAGGGAGCTGTTTTTTTTTTTTTTTTTTAAAGGGAATGCAGCTTTTCCGCCTGACAGCTGCTGGCTTTTCTCGTCACAAACCAGAGGCTCATCTCTTTTCCCTGGGCCACCCACTGCCACGATCGTCTTACCTCAGAACACAGAAGCAGCTCCTGGCCCCCGATGATAAGCGGCAGAAGCCAAACCTCTGCTTGCCGTCAATGTCAGTGAGCACAAATGTGAAGTTCTGGCCGACTTGGCTGACCGTCAGGCTAAAAGCGAAAAAAGAAACAATGTAGTTAAACGCCCCATCCGTTCGTCTTTGGTCCCCACATGAATCCACAAACCCCCATGCTCTCAGACAGGGAAACAGCAGCTTGTCGTTTTTTCATGCTTTTTAACAGGGAGTTTCTATTAACCAGTTTTTTATTGGAGATGATCAAATAGGATAAAATGAAAACTTTGTATTTCGTTGCCCTGCTACTAAAGGGAGATGTTTCTGACGATGGAGATAAACCCAAAGAGCAAAAAGACTTTAAATATTGCCTCGAGAGTTCCTGTTACAGTCACACAATTTGGTGACTTGAGATCATTTTAGAAAGAGCTATTTTATTTTCTCCATTTTATTCTATATCGCGAAGCAGGCATATCCGCCACCACTTAAGTCAAGCTGGTTTTCTATATTCAAAGAGTCCCAGAAACCAGTTAATAACGAGTGTTTCGTTAAGCCCTTGACTTGTCATCCTCGGTGATGAGTTCCAAATCGCTATCAAACTCGAGGCATGGCTCTTTAGCTCATGTGGACCTGTGGAAATGTGGACCTCTTATGAAGTTGGGTGGAGATTATGAAACTCTTAAATCACACATGCATCCACAAGTAAAACCACACATTTAGATTAGATTTTACTAGTGCAAAAGCAAGACAGTGTGGTCATATGCTTTCTCTTATCTTAGGAACCTGGTTACTTAGCATCCTTTTTCCATTTTGTTTTGTGTGTGTAAGCACCTTTTGTATTTATGTTTCCAAAATTGTCCCCAAAGATTCTGACATCACTGATTTAATGGCTCCAAAGCTGAAGAGCATATTCATTTACTTAATCGCCTTGTGGCAAAGACCTGACACTTTCTTGTCACACAGTTAGCGTTTATTTCTGAATTTAAAAATCAAACTTACTCCTCCACTTCCCTAGTGTTAACAAAACAGATGGAATTATTTCTAAATACATTTTAATGACTCACAAAGCACTCCTGTCTCAGGATGCACGATTGTATCCTATCACTCCTTCATCCTTTCCTAACACTTCACTTAAACCTCCCTTCTGTCGCCAATCAAGTCACTCACCTAGACACCAGTGTCCTAGAGAAGCTTCTGCTTTGGAAATTCACTTTGTCGGAGAACAGTGTTAACTACTCAAACATTGCGGCAACTAATAAAAATATTAAATGATTAAAAATGTAATGCTATAAACAATTTTTTTAAATAAAAAAAAACAAAAGAATTGTGTGATAGACCAAATCTCCTCACCTTGTCTCATGTACCCATTGGAACAGTATTATTGAAACCTTATAAATACTGCTGTGTACAAATATCTGGTCATTACTACACATTGAGGGGTCATAGCAGAAGATCTGTCCCCCGATTCAGCTCGTTATGGCTAAATGCACAGGACCTGAAGGCAAACTATGCTACCATTCATATGGAACAAATTCTGCTAATGACTAAACTGCACTTGCGCCAAGGAGGAAGAAAGATCACGAAAGTGCAACAGAAGCACTCCAGGGCATTGCACTTTGACTTGACTGCAACCCACACAATGTAAGATAATATTATCTTTTTAAAACTGATGTAATGTACCAGCAACATAGTGTAACAGCAAACAAGAAAAATGTATTAGAAAAGAAACAGTTTTCTGTTAACAATGATTCAAATTATTTTATACGGAACTAATATATTAAAATGCTTGTATCAACTGCCGTCAAACGAATGTAAATTATATTTTTTCTACTGAAATCATATATTGTGTAACTACATATAAAGCTTTCGTCATACTTAATGGATAGGCAACAGCAAAATTGTTAATCACAGCAGAAATCCTCCTGGGAATTCTTGAAATGGAGGACTGCTTATGCCATTTGTTCAGTATATTGAACACCTTTTACCTGCGAATTTTAGAGTCACTTTTCCATCAATAACTGAGTAATGCTAATGATGTCACCGTTTGCCGTGTGTAACTTCATTAGATGGTGGGCACCTCTTTACGCCAGCTGTGCTTCACAAAGAACTATAGCAAGGATGATATAATAAAAATTCAGTTAAATTTAGAATGCTTTGTAAGAGGTCATTTACACCACTGCTTACTTCTTAAGAGCAGATGTGTTGGTTCTGTGTAAAACACATGCAGCCTACACAAAGAAGTGAAATATCAAGAAAAACAATGAGAAGGGACTTACTGTTTTGAATGGGCTTTTTAAATTAATCTCTGGGCCTCTTACAGTAATTGCTAGAAGCTTGGGACAGGAAAATGATCGAGCCCTGGGGCCACAAGATCCAGGGCCCCTGGCAGAAATTTCCGGACTGCATAAAGCATTTACAACGTGCTATCAAGACTGTAAGGGGGCATTGCAGATTAGGAACTGGTGGGCTGCTGGTTCAAGCCCCCTACTGCAATCACTACTGCTGTACCTGGACTGAGGTCCTTTGCTTAGATTGCTTTGTAATTCCACCCAGCTGTATAAATGGGCACCAGCATTGCTGGGGGGTAGGCCTTGTGATGTGGTCATGTGCTCTCTCTTATCACTTTATGCCTAGCAAAGAAGGATCAGCTCTGGCCCAATGAGCTATTGTGTGTGGCTTGAAATGGAATTACCTATCTACCAAGCTGGCAGGAATGCAAACATAACCGTTCAGCTTTAATGCCAATACTTACTGTCAAACCAAGGGAAAAAAGCAATTTTGAAGTTATATCCAAATTTGTGTTAACCGTTTCATTTAAATCTAAGGGGTGATAAGATCTACCTTAAAAAATCATGTGTTGTGCAGCTGTTTTATTATGAGCTCTTGCAGTTTAATTCATTCTTACTGCATATTATAATGGGGTGCAAAAGGCACACAGAGAGAACTCTTTGTGACCAGAGCCCACAGACATCCTTGCTCTACCTCTGCGTGGCACGAAAGTGAAGCCCTAGAGTCTGGATGTCACTGGTTCAAGCAAAGAGGATTGTTTTAGCTGGCTGTGACCAGGATGTGCCAAATCAGAGGACACTGACAAAGTGTTGGAAGGACAGAGTGGGCTGAAGTAGGTTAGGGTTTCCCTTGTCTTGCCACACAGTGACACTTTGGACTTAACTGGGGCCGGTGGACTTGAGGTGATTTCATTCATCACTCCTCTGATTGGTGCAAATGCACCTGCAGGATGCTGTGGGCCTCACAGTGTGTCCAGTGACAAATGTGAGATGTGCAGTCAGAACAATCCATGCACAGGTCCTTCTGTTACCTGTGCAGTAGCATCAGCTGAACCTCACCGGGTGTTACCACTATTATCAAAACATTCACCTTTTATAAAACCAATAATGAAGACATAAACTGTGATTGGATATTCAAAATCCTTTATGTGCATGTTTTACCTGCTTTTAATACAACTGGGGTGCTTTAAAAAATGAAAATGAATTATTAAATTGAGAGCTTAAAGAAAACTGAAATTCTAGAAAATGAATAATTACAAGATGTATGCATTTGATGATCAGTTAAAGGCACTTAACTTTGGTGATTAATCTTAAAACAAATAACATAGTTTTAATGTTAACAGAGCTCCTCTGTTTCGAATTTTAGTACACCCTACTCCATCCCTTGCTTCACTGCTTCATTTTCATTCTGTCTTACACCTTTCCGAGAGGAAAGGCGTAAAACCTCAAGTACACTTTACAGAGGAAAGCAAACATAAAAGGGACAAGTGAATTGGAAGATTTTTAAAAATAAATTATTATGGTTCTTTTGTGTCCCCATAGTATAATGTCTCCTGTAACATTTATATCTTGAATACCCTCACTAATCAGAATAAGCATTCCACCACCTCTTCAACACAATCAATGGCACACTAACAAATTAAATTAATTTCAACGGATTGATCTTTGATCAGTCCAGAATCATTTCTGGTCCAACAACAGTACAGCCACTGCGAGTGGTAACAGTTACTGATTACAGACCAATTAACTGTGTATGTGCTACAGGGCTAACTGCTTCAGACTCCATCCTCCCATCAATTATTTTACATCATACATGTTAAAAAAAAGGCAAAACAGGCTTGTCATACATTCAAATAGAATCAAAGTCTGCATGCAGTCTGTTTACAGAAATTTATTCTCATTGTATTTGATCTGTTTCTAGATTTCTGAATATGTCAACAGGAATGCAAAGGTACTGCCGTGATTTTGTCAGTGTGTGTGTGTTTGTGGAGGGGTGAGGGGTTAGGAACTGTGCAAAATCGAGACAGCCTCATACTTTCACTGTACCAGACAAGGACAAAAGATAATTGGATCTGTGAAATTATGGTTATTTTACTTTTTTAAAAATACTGCAAAACAAAGAGTGCAGAGCTTTTACAGTGTGAGGCACAGCATGACATGAAAGGTTTTTAGTTCTTATCTAACATGTTTATTTTATATTTTATTTGTAATTAAACAACACTTTTGTGTAATTGAACTCTGAAGAATATAGAACTTTTAAATTAGATTTTTATTAACCTTTTTTATACATCCAAATGTGGGTAATATTTTGTCATTTGGTACTCCTAATTCAAACCAATCAAAGTCTGAATAAAGTCGATTTCCAATTTAGCATGAGTATTCAGAGGCTAAATAAATAAAAAAATAAATATTTTTTACGGAATAACAAAGCCTGATTAATTTACACACATTTCTGTCTGTGAAGAAATATTCTCTTCTTTCATCAGCAGGCAGATTGCATTTCCTGCATAATCGTATGCAATTCTTAAGGCGCTTTACATGAATAAATAACGAGCATTTCAGGGGTTTAATCCAACAAAAAAATAAGATGGAATGTAACAGGTTAAGACACTTTATTATAAATGTATCTTTTAACATAAATAATGAAAACAATCTTGCATCAACTCACTAAGAACGTACAAATTATGTTTTGATTAAGCTAATGCTTAATTAATGCTTTTATTTTTATTCACGAAACTACATTATTTTGCTTTGCTCACAATTTCTTGTGAAAAACAATGGTAAACAGTTTCTACTGGCATAAAGAATT